CTTTTCAGATTCAAAATACCTTTGAGGAAATGTATTTTCAGATGCCAAGTAAACTGCATCATAGCACGAGCAAAACCCCTCGCACTGAAATGTACGGGACAGAAGCGGAAGGTGGTTCTTAAAGAGACAGAGGCCAATTTCAAGGCGTTTAAAAGAGGAAGTGAAGAGAAGTTTATTTTCTATTTAAACATAAAAACAGCATTTTAATAACAACTAAAGGTGACATAGATACTTTATTATGGTATAGTATTTAAATGTATGCCTGAGAAACACGTAATATTGCCCCTTTAATGTTTTTGCGCATGTTTAATCCCTCGCACAAGTAGTACTTTTTTTCATATTGTAAATATTAAAACTACTTGTACTTATATTGTGCCTTTCTACCCATCCAGGACACGCAAAGCTCTTCACACTACAAACTGTGTCCTCATTTACCCATTCACACAGTACTCTATTAGGTCTCTACAAAGCTAACATGTACAATCATCTATGGAGACTAATCAGAACCAGTCACATACACTGATGGGACACACAGAGGCATTAGAGGTGAAGTGTCTTGCCCAAGGACACAACAACTGAGACAGCTGGACAGGGGATTGAACTGGTGACCTTCRAGTTCCAGGACTTCCCTAACCACTCTGCCACAGCCCCAAAACACAGCCTACTACATAGTAGAGCTCTCTTTTTGTCATTGTTTATATTGTAGCTAGGTTAGTGGCAGCAATARAATCTCCTGTCAGCTAACTGGAACGTGATTTCATACGGTTCYTTAGGAAATGACATCACTACCATTTCACAGTTCCATAACACGATGTAAATGGTACGCAGCATTACCTCAGGGACAAATGTCTCCCTTCCAGCGGAGTGCTTTGGTCCTCAGGGATATCCTGAGGGCTGCCATCAGGATGCTCCGGGGTGCCTGAATGTCTGACTCCGATCAGCTGGCAGTAGATGTTCAGCAGATGATCTGACACCATCGTTAGCACGGGGAACCTGCTGTCAAGTACCTACAGATGGAGAGACAGGATCAACCGGGAGCAATCAACTCTGCAGCAACTCAATGAAGGCAGAAACACAGAGCAACACAAAAATWTATCTGTCTGCAATAATGCAAGATGCTGAATGACTCCTGAAACTTGCTGAATAAGCAAAGACTGAGTTGTTCAACTTAAAATGCAACTTAAGAGAAATCTCAAAGAAGCAAAATGCTGAACTAAAACCTAAAAAAATTTAAAACACAAAACAAAAAGGCAAATTTAGCAAAGCAGTAAAGCCTAGAGTAGTGTGGTGGAAGAATATCTTGACTCCCTAACTGCATATTACCTTGACATGTCCTGTTCTGTATCTC